AGTCCGGGTTGATCTGAAGGACTTGGTGCCCAAAGTCTGGGAGTAGCCATGAGACTCGAGCTTGCCATTCACTACATCATGCTTACCGCATTTCTCGAACATGTCACGGACTACTTCAGGGAATTCTCTTGTCAAGGGATAAGCTTTTCGAATGAAGGTCTTCAACACGTTCATGTCCCCGTTCAACACATCTCCTGGAACCATGTAAGGTAGTATTTGCGTGACGGCGTCATTTAGTACCCGATATTTCGATTCGGTGCCGCCATCGCCTACTTCCTCTGCGCTGATTCCTCCGCTTCTCTTTAGCTTGTTCGCCATCCTATTGGATCCTTCTTGTCTCGTAGCAAGCTTGATACCTGCACTGATGAATCTCAATCGACTTGGTTCGTTGAATGTAAGGACTTGTTTGACAAGATCGTTGGAAAGATATATGGAACGCAGGACTGTTGGGTCAGCGTTCCTCACGAAGAGGTTGTGAGCCGGGAATGGAGAGGTTGCATTGTATCCATAAGAGCCATCGTATCTCCTTCGAATGTGAATGCTTTCTCTTGATATATAAAATTTAGCTGACGCTGCTGAGCCGTTCAAAAGGGTCACTTACAGGCATTTCTGGACGTCTGGAACATTCGGTTCAATATAAGTATACGGCTCTTCTTTGTAAGTTCCACCAGTTTTTTTCCTCTCTTCCACTACCACGGAAGGTTCTGTTGGGCCAACCGCCTCTGACTCGGGTTTGTCCACCATGTCGACATCCATTACAAGTTCGGGGTCCTCCTTTTCAATCCGCGGTCTCTTGTGAGTATCTGGCTCTGGAGTACCACTCATCTCCGCAACTGGTCTCTTTGCTGGCTTTTTGCGAGGAACCGGCATAGCGAAAGTAGGTGACCGTTCTAGTACCGCAACGAAGAAACCGCCACTGTTCTGTAGGTGTGGGTATATACGCCAACTATTAGGTGATTGTTTATTATTGAGAGATGTGTCATTGAGCGAACGTGGCAGAAATGAGACCGGCATACTTACCAACGATCTAGGTGCAGGTTCTCTACATTCGCAGGTGGGAACATAGTGTCAAGAATCTTGCTTTCTCTTTTCATATGTTCATTAAGTCCGTTCCAGTAGGTATCGTAGGACTCTGCGAGCCGTTCCCCTTGCTTGTCAACTGCTACCTTCCAGCTATTGACCCCTGGACGTCTGCTGAGTTCTGGGAGACGGTCGGAAGAATCCACCAAACAATATTCTCCATTACTGCTCCTCAATGCAGCAGCGACCACTGCTTCATTTTCAACCGGGTTGAGAGAGCATGTAGAGTAGACGATCCGGCCTCCAGGTGCGAGCATCTTCATTGCTCGTTGAAGGATCCGCAGTTGTAAACTAAACACAAGCTATTCAAAATTATTGAATTGTATTGGTTTATCTTGGCGTACCTATGTAGCCCGTTTCCATTCGTAATTGTCCAATTTCTCCAAATAATTGGATTCTTCCTCATTGTCCCGTCACCGCTACACGGAACGTCACACAATATACGGTCGAATACCAAGAGGTCTCCAGTGTTGTTGATCCTAATGTTTGGATAGTATGATGCATCTACATTTGTAACAACGAGGGATGGTGAAGGAAGGCGAGAGGACTGGTGCACCAATAAACCCGCCCGTTTATAATCACTATCGTTTGCCACTACGATCCCAGTGGGGCTACTTGAGTCAGATGAGGCATGAAGAGCCTCTAATATTTGAGCCGTCTACCAGCAGATGAGCCCCACTGCTAAATTATGACGCCCAATCATTTACCTTTGAGCCCGGTGCAGCACACATATCCAGAACCTGGTGTCGAGGTATCAGTTCGTCCTTTTCTTTTTATTTATTCTATTCATACTCTATGATGTGGTTCCACGTCGAGCACCAGGGGCGGGATCATACTAACGGCTTCCTGACGAGAAATATTCCCCTAAACTGGTTTAAGATTTCACGAAAATGGGAGGACGTGACCACACACCACTTCAGTCTCGTAGACAAGGAATTCCTGCATTTTCTTGAATTCTGGCACTTTCCTCACGACGCTCTTATGGACGTGTATTTGCCATGCTAAGCCACCAGGATACCAGGGAATTGGAGTAGGCGGGTTGACTGCCATCCCTTCGTGGGTTAAGCCAGTAAGATTTGGCACATGGACGTTTTTAATGACATTATTGACGTCTTCAGCTGTACTTGTGAAGGAAGAAGAATGTGTCATACTTGGCTTAGAAAGGTATCGGACCGTACATACACTCTACTGCCAGTGATCCGAAAGGTGGTAGGGAGGTCCAATTTCAGGTTCGATAAGAAAGCGTCCCAATCATCGTCGTCTCTGAGTAGATTTTGTTCCTATTTCTCTGTTAAAAGCTGCAATTTGTTGAAGAGAGAGAGCTCACTCTATAGTACTTTTCGAAAAGCGTATTTTCCTTGTCGATTTCCGTTGTCCACTGATCATCTCGTTTTGGGTTTTTCGATTTCTTTGCTTCTAATTTATCTTTCTTTGCAGCCACCTTTTCTTTCCTCTTCTGAGATTTTGACATTTGGGACCTAGGCGGCTTTTCAATGATTTGGGACGAGGCCGCGCCATTGTTTTTCATAGTGGCGGCAGACCCATCTTCGGGTGGCGAGTTCGCAAATGATGCCTAAGGTCGTAGTGAGACATATGTTGGTCTATTAAGTGATAGCCACATACACCATTGTCATTTGCTGCTTCCATGAAATGAGGGTTCAAGAATTGAGCTCGAGGTGGTTGGGTCGAAGTCAACAAGTGGCGACCCGGTAAATTTCAAGGCATTCTCCATCAATAGTACTCATAACGAGATTTTATGCAGACATGGGCGTGTCAATACAGCCCATAATCAATAAATAATTGCCATGAATTCAAGAGGTATAACTCTAAGATCCGCTTTCT